CTTTGAAAGAGTGCTGAAGCAGCAAATGGCATTACATGATTTGGCCCTGGAGACTTCCATTAGTGTGGCTGCTCTTCCGGGCAGAGAAGAGTGGAAGATTATGGGACAAGTGATCTATGTCCTCCAAAGTTTTGGGAGTGCAACAAAGGCCCTTAGTGGGGAGACAGCCCTCCTTAGTCAGGTGATTACTATCATCATCACCATCTTAGAACTGCAGAGCAGGAAGGGACCCTATGGATTATTGAGCCCAGTGCAGGACCAAACTCCCAACCTCTGGCTCCACAGCCTGATACCGAAACCACTGAGCTATCCAGCAGTTCCCGGGATTGATTAGCATGATGGAGGGCATAATGACGGGGCAATCTAGGTGGAAGGGTTGCATTCCATAAACGGAGAACAACAATTTTTTCAGCCTGAAGTGGTGGTTCTGGCCAGCAAACTAGAACCTGCTTTACTACAGGTTTGCCTCCTTAATTAAGCAACAGGCGATGGATATTAAGCAGCAGCCAAAAGGGTAATGCCAGCCAACTCTTTATCACGCACAGCAGCAGCTAGTTAAGATGGTCCGGCTAGCACCAAGTGCTCACGCAGAGCAGAAAGAAACCAGCAATATTCATGGCATCCCAAAAAGCAGTACCATCAGTTATATTCTAGAGTCCACACCTTTCACCCTTGCAACAACAGGGTAAACTCTATGGGATGCTGTCTTGATAAGCACGGCAGGGGGCCTGTCCTCCAGAGATAGCAACACAGAGGAAGGGCATGGCAGAGGGAGAGACATACATGCAGGAGCCCTGCAAGCCAAAAGGGATTGGTCCCTTGTCTTACTGGGCTGAGAAGGAGTCTGTCTGGGGAGGTCTGGCCAAGGTGGCAGTGGGACCTCTTGCCCACCAACTACTGTGCCCAATGAGAGTGTTCTCTCGGGCAGGGCGCACTGTCAGTTCACACTGCTCTTGCCTAAAATCTGGGTCTGTAGGAAAACTTATTTTCCTTAAGGTCAACCTACTATTGCTCAGCTTCCCTGAAGCCCCCTTTAAGTGGGAATGGCAGTTCTATCAGAGAACAGTAGCATTTTCTGTCTAAGGTAATGGTAAATAACACTCCCTTGCAAGCAACTCTCCATGCAACGTGTTTGTCCTGTCTCTTTTTTCCTACCTGACTTCACTTCTGGTGTCATGGACTAGCTAGGATAGATTAACCCAGTGGACAAACCAAGGAAGCACCGCATCCATCTCTTTTATTCTTACAGTTGCACAGAGACACCATTTACTCACTTAGGACCAGAATTTAAAATTTTAAAATGTTCCAGCCATGGTTTCCCACTTATTCCTGCATACACCTTCAACCTATCATCCCATTCAAGAATCTGTGGGCTGTGTAGGTGGCACCCCACCTACACCATCCACAAAGGAGTTCCCAGTACAGCTAAATAGCCCAGTGGTTTAGGTATCTGGCTGTGGAGCCAGAGATTGGGAGTTCAATTCCCCGCTGTGCCTCAACAGGGGCTGGACTTGATTTATAGAGTCCCTTCTGGCTCAGCAGTTCTAAGGTTGTTGTTGTTGTTGTTGTTGTTGTTGTTGTTGTTGTTGTTGTTGGTTAAGATGTGCCGGAAACCTATGAAGCTAGTTGCCACCTTCTATATTTTTTAATCAGCCGCTAGTCTTTGCCCTCGTTTCTTTCTCTTATCTATATTTTTTAATCAGCTGCTAGTCTTTGCCCTCGTTTCTTTCTCTTAAGAATTGGGAGGTGAGGGGTAACAATTACTGGGGAAAACATTACATACAAGCAACTAGTTGTCTGTACTCAACACCCTCCAAGCTTTGACACATGTCTGGAAACACCAGCCGACTGCAGTTCACTGTCAAACATCCTGTCAAATCTAGAGTGGTTGCCCTGTTAGCATGTGAAATAACTCCTGGAAATTACTTTTAACAGACCAGAACTGCTAGTTTTTCTTAGCTCCGGCCTAGAGCAACCCTGTAGCTTGCCCCAGGCCTGTGCTGCTCCAGTCTGAAGGCTGCCAATTCTGTCGAAGAGCAGTTGGTCAGGATGTGGGTTTCGGTGTGGAGAAGGCACTTATCAGGAATGCACCAGCTATGACCACTAATCTAATTTTCAGTCCTGAACCTCAGCCAAATAGAGAACCCACTGACAAGTCAAGCCCATTAAGCTGCAGAGCCACCAAATCCCTCGGTGCTGTTCAGTTATGATAATCAGCAACAACAAATCACCTTTACTAAAGGACGGTTATGAGTGGTGTTGCTTGTTGGCTGACGCCCAACACTTTTTACAAGCCTAGGCGCTTTTAATAGCTGACAGAATACATGCGGGAAAGCAGACAACTGGAAGGCATTAAAAGCACTAATGTCTTCATCAAAACTGCAGCAGAAGCTAAGTAAATCACTCAGAGCATCAATTGTTGGTTCGCTTAAAATGTATTCAATGCGCTCGCTCGGTCATTTGAGCCACACAATGTATTAAAGCTCCTAGTGGAAATAATCAAGTTCTCACTGTCTCCTTTTAGAAAGCACATGATTAAGTGCTAGTTTTTGAGAAAGATGCTCTCAGGCAATCCAAAATAACACCTTACATCATCTCACAAACAAATTTGGGAGAGCAGTGGAGAACAATGGTTAAGAGACTGTACTACATATTGGGCTGCTCATAATTTGACTCTCATTACTGGATTCCCTTAGGCAAGTCACTTTCTCTGAGCTGCCCATCTACGATAAGGGATGCTAATGCCAACCCAGCACTGCCTGGATAGCTCAGTGAGTTAGATACCTGGCCATGGAGCCAGAGGTTGGGAGTTCAATTTCCCATTGTGCATCCCAGAAGACCTAGCCTGTGCAAGCCTTGGGCAATTTGCAAAATCCCAGGATGTCCCCAGAAGAAGGAAATAGTAAACCACTTCTGAATATTCTCTACCTGGAAAACCCTTAAAAGGTCTCTGTAAGTCAAAATCGACTTGACAGCACATGATTATTATTAACGCCAACCTGCACTACAATCTCTTGCAATATTATCTGCTTTCAGCATTCAAAAGCACTACACAGATATTAATGTATAATAATAAATGTAATAAAATAACAAACACCAAAAGAAACTAGGTTAGTTGAAGAAATCTGGGTGGTTTCTAGGTATGATGTGACATAGGTCAGGGACTACAACTGATGGAGTAGTAAGGTTATAAAAATGTAGGAAAACAGTACAGGTAGGTGACGTGGAACACAGTTTAACTTGAACAGATGAAGAAATGAAACTTCTAGAAAGTAGAAGGAGGTTTCTGTATGTGATGGGGGTCCCATAGCTTCAGGCTGTTGTGTGCCCTTGATACAGCAAACTTTCATGACAGAAGAGAGGAGAGCCTGGGAACATTTGTTTTTAAAATTAGAACTTCCAGAATCACCTTGCCAGATTGGACTTGGGCACCTACTATCTACTTCCCTGTAAGACTGTTATTTATATGGCAGATTTTTTGCATTACTTCTGCAGAAAATGTTTATATCAACTATTTTTATCCCAATTTTCAGTCAAAAGACCACCACTCCCTCACACAATACATACACGCATATACAAACAAAGCAAGTAATAAAATAATAAACATTTTTTAAAACAGACTACAAAAACTCCAGTTATAAAACCAAAATGGAGGACCCAAGTCAAGATGACATGCAATCCAAAGGCCTTCAGAAGTACAGCCACAGCTTTATTGCTACTCATGAGCAAAATCTCTGTGGATTAGACTGTGAAAGTAAGACCAAGCTCAACTCCACACGGAGCCATATGATTTGTTGGATGACCTGGGAGCAATCATCATCTCTGTGCCTAACCTACCTGGCAGAGTTGTTACTAGGAGAAAATAAAACATCCTCAACAGTGCAGAAAAAGCAACACATACACAGAATTAGTGAAGCAATCCAGAAAGACTAGTTGCTGCACCACTGCTATAGGGGAACAAAAAGGAAGACTTCCTTGGAGGACATTGAGCAAGTGCATAAGGAGGACAGAGGTCCTTGAGAGATCCTCAACCCAAGATAATTCCCACCTGCCTAACGAAGAGAAATGCTTGGAGATAAAAGAAGTTACTACATAGTGCATTTGCTTTGGTATGCTGAAGCTCAAAGGTATATAATATAATTTCTAAGAATTACGAGCATTAGTACTTTTAATTCTAACTACCTAGCTGAAAAGGTATAGCTGTTTATGCCAATAAGAAGTGCCTGTATAAACCTTCTGTACATAAATGTGAGAAGGTGTGTGTCGCAAACACCTCTCAGCTACAGAACAATAAATATTTCAACAAATTCTACTGGATTTATTTTCTTTTTCTTTTTTTAAACTACTTCACTGTGTTCCTCAGAAATCAAAAAAAATGTCATGAACATTTCATTTCTTCTTGAGCAGGCAAAACAAAGGAAATAGATACAAAACAGCTTCGTTTCAATAGGAAATGCCCTCATTTTATATTTCTTTGAAAGGACTCTGTGATACATGAAGTATTTTTGATGTTGTGTTAAAGAGTGGGAGAAGAATCAAATCCTTCAAGTAAAATTTAATAAACCAGGAAACCTGATCCAAATACCACATAATAAATTAGTTAAGAAGCCACTAGGAAAAAAGCCAACATCCCCATCTCCCTCAGTAATACATTCTAGTTTACCAAGGCAATGATAGCAAAATCAGCCACAATTATGTTAAATATTTATTGCTAAATCCATTAATATTTTCCCTAGATAATAGAGCACTAAGACAAAACCTTCAGAGGAAAGCAAGACACAAAAACATAGCTTAGAGCTCCCTCTGTCGTTCCTTGGAAGAATTTCATTTTTGGTCTATAAATATCAGTTCCAAGGTTTTTTAAACATGCATTTCAGAAACAAGTTTGCACTTGACAACAACTACTTTAATAACAAATATTAAGTCCTTTCTGTATTAAGGCACACTTAATTCTTATCAGTCATGGACATTATTTCTGTGCACGGAGCAGAATCACTTACAAAGCCATTTCAAACTGTTCAAGCCACTTCTTCTTCAGATCTTTGGTTTTGCAGTAGAGTTCAAGACCATTTTGTCCTTGTATGTGGATGAGGTAGAAGCCGTAAGACCACTGTTTAAATGACAAGGCAGTTCAAATGTTATCTATCAAGAATTTACAGACAGCAGAGTGGCAAAACCTTTGGAATGATACTTTGTTAACTTCCAGGTCACCAAGGATGAGTAATAGGTAGCCATACCCAGCATTTATATAGAACTTCAGAACGTTCATAGAGCTTCAGAGGCATTCTAATCCCTTTACTAACATTAAACAAAACATGAAAATTCATCACTGTGCTACTTCAGATATCCACTGGAGGAAGGCGTAATTTTCTGATAAGTAAGGATGGATTCTCTGGGGGTTTTTTTGGTTTATTTGTTTTTTGTTATTCTTTTGTTTTTTGAACTCCCAATTCCTGGAATTCTCCAAGAATTCATTCATTTTCCTTAAGGACATGTTTATTAGAGGTTTCCATGTTTATGCTTTAGGATTCCTGAATTCTCCAAGAATTCCCCAAGCAAAATGCACACGCATATCTATGGATGTCTACATTTAACTCATCTGGACAGGGCCTACATTCAAAATTGTGTCACCTTTATTTCCTGTTGTCAATGTATTGTTGTTTTTAAAGAAAGTTGCTGCAATGCTTCCTGGAAGTTGTAATTCTTCAGAAGTCACCTTTATAGAGCCTAATGGACAGCAAGACTACAACATCCAGCTAAATAGTTTTCCCATTATCTGCCCTACTCTATGGGAAACCTGTGCATGAATAAAACTGGAGATGAACATCTGCAAGACTCTTAAATACTATCAAGTTCTATTATATGTTTACCTTTTTATTTTCTTTATCTGTGGTGGGATTATTCATTATTTTGTACTCTTGAAGATCAATTATGTCCTTCATTTCATAATTATCACCTCGTCGTTTGCATACAATTACAGCCAGGTCAAATAAGAAGATATGTCTGTGGGGGAAAAAATTACAGGATTCAAAAACTTGGATTTGCAAAGCTAAATGCTATCATAGAAAGCTCTGCTTAGACAACACCTCCATTTTCCAAAAACATTAAAATGAAACTTTAAGCTTGAATTTAAACGTATGTTTCAAATTTTGAAATATAGATTGCAACTCCTCTATAGCACAATCTTCTATGTATTTGGTAGAAGCAAGTTCCACTGTGTTCAACAAGATGTGCTTCTCAGTAAGTGTGTTGAGAACTGTAGATGACAGGCAGTCACACGATGGTCTGAGTTTTGGCAATCATTCAAATATCAAATACCATTAGATGCCAGCTATTTAATATCTCCCATCTTCCAACGGCTGTTGTCAAACTTCCAGTATCATCATACATCAGATGTTAAATGTCACCACTTATCAACTATTAAATGCAGTCAAATAATAAATGCTGTTGCTGTGCACCAATTACCAAGTTGCAAGAAGGAACGGTAACAGCAAAGGCAGAATTAATAAAGACTAATGCGAATAAAGGCAGTAGTTACTTCAAACAAAAGAAACTTCAGCAATGTGCACAGCATGATCATCCTATGTGCTTTGTCAAAGTAACTGAGTAGATCACCATCATTCAGAAAAGGGCATTCTCCTCTCTATCTCCACTGCTCTTTTAGAGAAAACTTCAGTCCATTTCACTACTGCACCTTTTGCTATTAAAAAAAAGCCCTACAAAAACCAAATACATTTCAGTTTTATTCCAAATGTGGTGGTTATAATATACTCAAGTGTTTTTCTGGCATGTTTCATGACCGTTTATTTAATATAAATTGTAACACCTTACGATAAAAAATAGAAACAAACCCAAGGTCTTCTCACCTATCTTGCCTTGCCCGTTTGTCCAGGGTTGTTATCCGGATTTCACCATCCCCTTGTGGTCTTCCATACAGTAAAAGGGATTGGTTCTGAAAAGGTAAGAAGTACATTAATTATATTAATAGGCAGCAGATCCTCTCTGTTCCTTGAAGGAGCCCTTGGCAGAAGCTGGAGCAACCAAGGGTTCAGCTACTGAAAAGGAAAGGCAGCTGCAGACGGCACATTAAAAACTCAGGAACTGCAGCCTCTTTGCTGTGCTTCATGGCTATCTTCACAAGGGAGCTATTAGATATTGTGACAAGCCACAACATGGGGGTCCGCAGGTGTCACCTTCTTCCTTCCTGTTCAATACTGCCTTACTCATCTCTACCTCCCTAAAGCTTTCAAGGCAATTGGGAGCCTCAACTTTCTGCATACAAAAAGAATGAGACGGCAACCAAAAGAGGACTGATGGGCAATCACACAAAATGTGAAGAAAGTGAATCATGACAAGCTGCACGTCAGGCTGACAGTCCTGTCGTAAGCCCTGCTTTCATATTATGGCTCTCTCCAGTCTGGGTGAGAGTTTCAGGTGCCTGAGCCCATGAAGTTGCTTTATGCCCATCCAAACCACAGATCCACCTGGCTTGGTGTTGTCTGCAACAGCCCACATGGCTTCAAAAAGGAGCCTTCTCCTAACTCTTGAGCCAGAGCTGGTACTGGGAACTTTGAGTTTGCAAAGAATGTACTCAACCAGTGAATTAGATATCATAGGGCCCAAACATCGCAGGTACATTAAAATGGCTGACTCTCAAAATATGCTTTTCCTCAGGTTCACTGATAGAGTTCACTTTTATGCTGTAAAGCAGAGGTAAGCAATCTGGAGCCCACCAAACCTATCTTGCCCTTCCCAATCTCTCTTATTCTGGACAAAAGAAGGTGTATTGACTTAACAGGGCACAGGGCCTCTTACGCCATTTAACATCTAAAGCTATCTCTCTCTTTTTTTTTTCCTCCCTGAAGTAGATTTCTAGCTGCATTCATTGAAGGTTGGGGGGGGGAGAAATGTATTGTTTTATTTCACTTTGTTTTGCATTTTAGGTTGCCTGTACAACCCCTAGAGAGTCACAGAATTGGCTCCCAGATGTTCCCACATTGGCCAACCTGCTGTGAAGCAACTTTATACCGTCTTACGTGGTTGTATACTAAGAATTTATAAACGAAGACCAAGCAATCCAGCTATGTGGATCAGCCTGGACTTGAATTCCCATTCCTGCGGTCATGAAGATCAGCCACTCCAGATTCCAGACTAGTAAAAAGAGACAGTAAAAATCACCCTTCCCTGTCTCCCCATAGTTTTCTATGTGTCATCACACAAATATGCAAGCAGCTCACTGTGCTTCAACCTGATAAAACTGTAATATGCACCTACAAGTCAAGAGTGGGTGACAGTCAGGCTCTTTCCTTGCTTGTATGGCTCTCTAGCCTTGGGCTAGGTATTTCTGTCCACTAGACATCCTTTTCTTTTTCTAACCTTTCTGCCAGAGAGCCATTCCTTCAGGCCTTCAGCTTCCCAAATTACTCAACTCCTGCTTCCTAGAATGCTATATTCTAGTATTTCCTAGCTCTGCCACAGACTGCCAATTGGCTCTTCCTCCAAACAAGCAAACCTGTGGATCCGCTCACACATTTCACCTTGACTCTGGTCTCAGATGTTGCACCTACCAGATCTCCATGCCTTCACAATGGTCAAAAAGAAACATACCAAATTCTCTATTGACGACTGGAACTGTTTAATTTCACGGAGAGTTTCATTATCTCGCTTCACTTCATTCACATATTGTGCCAAATCCTAAAACACAAAACAAAGAAGGAAATCATGAGCTAAATGCAGGGCTTAGGAAAGTTGGGTTTTTTTCTGCTTCAGGTTCCAATATTCTCCAGCCAACACAGGGTCCAAAAAACATAATAACTTTGTAAAGGTCTACATAAGTATTTATGCTTGATTAAGATCACTGGGGTCCATTTCCTATGCTACAGTACAAGCAATTATATGTTAAAATTAATAGCATGTAATACAGACATAGCCAGAACTTGGGAAAGTCAATTTTTCTGGAGCATAATTCCCAAATTCCAGCATCCAGTTCAGCCAAATACCATGCTATCTGGGAAATTCTGGAATTTACTATAGAGAAACATAACATTTCCAAGTTCTAATCAGTGGAATGGCTTTAAAAAGGTATCTTGCCCTCACATGAATGAAATGCTTATCAGGCCAAGCACATTTCCTTGCGTAACCTTTCTGTGTGAAATGGGGTGGGTGGGAGATGTTTAGCACAGTCTCCTCACACACTGTGGGGAGGGGGGAAGACACTGCACAGTAAAGTTTTAACACAAAAGTGTTTTTATCATTTTGTATGAATAAACTGTCTCTTCAGCTGAAATCCGGCAGTAAGTCACAACTAGTGTGTAGACTCATTGAATTAATGGAGCTTACAAAGATGTTGACTCATCAAATCCTCACTGATTCCATGAGTTTATTCTAGTTGAGCTTTACTGCTAGATTTCAGCCATTGTCTGCTAAAATAGCTTAAAAGATAGGTAGCTCATTGTCCTAACAGTGGATGTCTCAACTTGAACTATCAAGGTGTTCCACTCCTTGGGGAAAGAGAACTCTACTCTGCATGTAGGGAATAAGCTTCCCCAAAAGACAGAAGGCTTGAGAACATTACAATCTGATCTCTACCTATTTTCATTCGCAATTACACAACAATTTTTTTAAAAAAAACACTTTTTGGCTCTCAGCCGTGAAAAACACATACTTTTCTCTGCAGATAAGTAAACATATGGTGAGCAGAAAATGGAAACAAAGGGACAAGTGTTGAACATCACCAGGCTTTCATTTTCCCCTAGAACAAGCCTCATCATCTTACATGAGAATGACTTCACCAACCCACCTGGCAATCCCACTTACCTTCATTGCATCAAGTGCCAGTTTTAGATTTGCCTTCTCAGTTGGATCATTGGTGTGTTTTACCAGCTCCTGTATTGCAGAATATATAGTTACAACAGCATCTGGTATATAAAACAGCTTATACATTTTCAGTCCCACCCATCTTTTTCTCCTTTTGCTCTTGTGACCCTACCAGAAGCATTACTGCTGTATCCGTTTTCTTTCCAGCATGCACCTTTTCCCCACTTTTTCCAGGAATTCCAAGTCCTAAATTTTCTTACCCTACCTTTGCCCCATTTGTAAATGAGAAACTAGTACAGACACCCCCCACTCACCTGACAAGTTCAGAAGCTTTACAGCCTTCATTGCTACACCAATTTGTATCATTTGAGTCATCCCCCTCCCCAGTAAAAAAAGAAAAGAAACATTTTCACTTTCATGAAAAACAAGACCAGTTTGCCTTAGGAAGAAAACTGATGACCTAAACTGGTTATCTGAAAATACATGGAATAAGATGCAAGTGTTGTGTTACTTCCACTATTCAGGTCTCTATTAAGAATGCTGCCCCCTTCGGCTGAAGCTGCTGCTCCACCACTATGAAATCTAAGGATCTGAAAAGCAGCTTTCCAGTCTACTCATTTTGAGATTAAAAAATTTTACACATAAGATCCACTGAATCAATTTTTATTTCATAACTTAGGTTGTGCTTTGCAGCAGGCTGTCTTGATTCCAAATTAAAATCAAGTAATTTCTTTACTTTATATTTATGCAGAGGTATATATGCTCTCCCTTTATTCAATGCAGTGCACAACAGCAATGTGGCTGAAATTACTGCCTATCTACCAACCATACAGTCTGAATTCCCAATTCCATCCCTCCCCCCAAAAAACCTAAAGAAGACAAAAAATAAAATTAAACAAAATCCCTTTGTTCTTCTAGTTCCACTTCAGAGATAACACCAATCTTACTAAACACATGTTCACGGTTCCCATAAAGTTCCACTAAAAACCATTGGGTTTGATTCCATAGAACAGAAAGCTGTGACCCACTATTTTACTCATGATCTGCAAAATGGCCTTCTCTGAGGGCTTCAACCATTTACTGTTCCTAGGGGTGTCCCAAACAGCCATTAGCTATAAACCATCAGACATCCCCCACTCACCTGACAGATAGTGAATAGCGCTTCAGAACTACAGCCAGTATAAAAGACTAACACCTGTGCCTTGGGAACTGTCCCCAGACAGGAGTCTTGAGGAACCACCAACAATGGCGATACGATTGCTATTTTGAACTAATGCTGAACCTGGGCTTCTATCCCTCCAGTATGTATAAAAAGGTAAAGGTAAAGGTTCCCCTTGACAATTTTTGTCCAGTTGTGTCCGCCTCTAGGGGGCGGTGCTCATCCCCGTTTCCAAGCCATAGAGCCAGCGTTTTGTCCGAAGACAACCTCCATGGTCACATGGCCAGTGCGACTTAGACACGGAACGCTGCTACCTTCCCACCGAGGTGGTCCCTATTGATCTACTTGCATTTGCATGCTTTCGAACTGCTAGGTTGGTGGGAGCTGGGACAAGCGACGGGCGCTCACTCCGTTGCGTGGATTCGATCTTACAACTGCTGGTTTTCTGACCCTGCAGCACAGGCTTCTGCGTTTTAGCCCACAGCGCCACCACGTCCCATCTATGTATAAATGTGCATAAACAGATATTCCAGCTATAGCACACATTTCCATTGCTCTCTTCCCAGAAAAGAGAACTAGCTAAGTTAAATATGTGTGTGTATACACACACACACACACACACACACACACACACACACAAAAGTTGTACTATATGGTTTATTTGAAATCTTGCCCAGAGAACTTTCTTGCAATCACAACATTGACAATGGCAGCCTCTGCGCCTTAAGGTGCACTTCACTATGCATGATATCCAGAACTGAACAGAGCACTGCAGAGTCAAAAAGTGGCTTCTGGTAAAGGTAGAAGCTCTTTTTTAAAAAATGACATTTTATAAGCATCAGCAATTCTGACAGTCTAATGGAGTCATATATTTCTTTGCAACCGAACTAATGAGTCCCCCAGCGCAGCTATCAAATGATATTTATAAGGCTCTCTAGCCTCATTATAGAACTAACTGCATAGGAGCCATAAGATCTGTGAGTTTTAATAGAAAACATTCAAAATAAATATGGCTTTATTATAATCCAGCATGGAAACGAATAGCCTAGGAAACAGTTGCTTCTTCTCAAGGTTTACCTACATACAGGAGAGGCATGGCTTAAAAGCATTATCTAGCCTTGATATGGTATCTGGATAAGAATTTGTCCAATTTGAAAAAACAACAGCGAATCATCTAACAGGGCTGAACTGCAGAGGGAATCCTTAAAGAAATGGTCCTTCCCCATGACCAGTAATGATGCTTATTCCCAGTGCTTCATTGCTGACCATTAGGAAGATTTCCCCTGTAATGTCTAGACCTGCAAAGCTGGTCTAGACATTACAATCATAAAAGTGATGAAGATCACTACAGCATGTTCCCCATCTCCTGCCAGGTGAGTCATTTAATGCCCAGTTAAAGCATTTATATATATAAAAAGGGCTGTCAGGAGTCAGGGCCATCTTGCCAAGAGGCTTCCTGTTCCATACCACTGATGTAGATCGTGGGTGGGAAAATTCATGGGATAGCCCTGACTCACTTCAGTGTGTCAAAGTACAAAGAATGTCATGACTACATCCGCTCACACAACAGAAACAGCCAAGTTGAGGAGGAGGTTGGCAATAATCCTGAAAGACAGTCTGGCTGCATTTCAGATGACCTTGTTTATTGTAAATTTTTTACTGTTGCTTTAAAGAGGCATAGATACAACCACCAGAGATCATGTGCAGAGTTTCTGAAGACGGAGGGAGAAGTAAAACAAACAAACAAACAGGGAAAGTAGTTTAAAATTTGCATGGTATTCTAAAGTGAGTAGGTGAAGAAAAATAAAAATGGCCATCGTTGCAGCAAAACATCTATCACAGCTTTTCTTCCTATCAAAAATCAGAGTAACCCAGCAATCTGGGGTGGCAGCTGAACAGGGAGAGAAAACACACAATAATGTATTGAATAAACTTCCAAAATGACATACCTGAAGCAGGAGATGGTATTTTAGGACTCGTTGCATTGGAACCACGAGGAGATCCCGTAAAGTGAACTTCCCATTATTAGCTCTTTTGGAACATTCCTAATAAAACATAGACAACAAAGACTTCCATATGACTTTGACATAATCAGTAAAGTGAAATAACTCCTGCCATTTTCGCAACAAAACAGGGCAGTTATCCAAATGGCTGGGAAAGTCAGTCATTACGAAGGATGAGTTGGGGATGTAATAGTAGAGTATCAAGGTGAAAGAATGGACTGTACCTCCTCAAACAACAAGTGAAATATTCCTAACTCTGCTTCACATTCGCAACACTCTCCTGTCTAAGAAATTCTCTCCAAGGGAGAAAGCCAAGCTACAGCCTTTGTCCCTGGTCTGTTTTATTTCTGAAGGGAAGACAATATTATTATTTATGGGGTGTGTGCATGGAGTTGGGCTTCAGAGGTGGCACCCCCAATTTGTAACATGAATTATACAAATAATCTCTTCTCAGGGATTGTAACACCAGACATGGCTCCTAATTTCATTGCTGAAATAAGACTGCAATGCATTTTTAACCAAAGTAAATGCCACAAATACCTCAAGTTTCAACTTCACATCTTCTTTTGTCTTGGAGATATTGTCTAAACAGGATATCGCTGTCTCTACCTGACTGCAGTACTGTCCATAAATAACTAATCTAGAACAGGGAAAGAGGGAAATTAGAATAAGTAAACAATCTTCTTGGTAACATAAAATAGTTTTATACTGTTTTCATCATACTCCAGCAGCTCAAGCTTCCACCCATATTATGGTCTTCTTAGCAGAAATACAGGAAAACAGTCAATCTCTGAAAAAACTGTGGTCCTTAACTGCTGTCCAGTATCTTTCTCACACTGCCCAGCAAGATACCTTTGACCAGCATTGCTGCAATATAAGTTATATGAAACCGGGAAGCATTACTTGCAACCACAATTACATTTACAAATTTACAAATGCTTAAATAGACATCCTGTGCTTTAATGTTGTAGTTTAGTTGTTAAGTTGTGTCTGACTCTTCGTGACCCTATGGACCAGAGCACGGCAGACCCTCCTGTCTTCCACTGCCTCCTGGGTCAAACTCATGATGGTAGCTTCGATGACACTGTCCAACCATCTCATCCTCTGTTGTCCCCTTTTCCTCTCGCCCTCACATTTTCCCAACATCAGGGTCTTTTCCAGCGAGTCTTCTCCTCTCATGAGATGGCCAAAGTATTGGAGCCTCAGCTTCAGGATCTGTCCTTCCAGTGAGCATTCAGGGATGATTTCCTTCAAAATGGATACGTTTGCTCTCTTTGCAGTCCAGGGGATGCTCAAGAGCCTCCTGCAGCACCACAGTTCAAAAGCATCAATTCTTTGGTGGTCAGCCTTCTTTATGGTCCAGCTCTCACTTCCATACATCACTACTGGAAAAACCATAGCTTTGACTATGTGGACCTTTGTCAGCAAGGTGATGTCTCTGCTTTTTAAGATGCTGTCTAGGTTTGTCATCGCTTTCCTCCCAAGAAGCAGGCGTCTTTTAATTTCGTGGCTGTTGTCATCTGCAGTGATCATGGAGTCCAAGAAAGTAAAATCTGCCGCTGCCTCCATATCTTCCCCTTCTATTTTTCAGGAGGTGATGGGACTAGTGGCCATTTTAATTCCTCCTCACTTTCTGCCATCAGAGTGGTATCATCTGCATATCAGAGGTTGTTGATATTTCTTCTGGCAATCTTAATTCTAGCTTGGGATTCCTCCAGTCCAGCCTTTCACGTGATGTATTGTGCATAGAAGTTAAATAACTAGGGAGACAATATACAGACTTGTCATACTCCGTTCCCAATTTTGAACCAATCAGTTGTTCCGTATCCAGTTCTAACTGTTGCTTCCTGTCCCACATACAGATTTCTCAGGAGATAGATAAGGTGGTGAGGCACTCCCATTTCTTTAAGGACTTGCCATAGTTTGATTTGGTCCACATAGTCAAAGGCTTTTGCGTAGTCAATGAAGCAGAAGTAGATGTTTTTCTGGAACTCTCTGGCTTTCTCCAGAAATTTAATGCCTTCCCTTATTATGGTGAAAGTACAGCTGCAATATCAGTTTTAATAGAATAACTCTTATAAATATTTGTTATGCTAATGCATAGGCTTCAAAGTGTGATGAATAATACTCAGCAATATAGGATTTAAAAATACAGTAATAGCTGTGTGCCATTGATTCTGACTAATAGCAACCCTTTCCAAGGTTTTAGGGATTATGAGTATTCAGAATTGGTTTATTATTCCCTTCTTCTGGGGGTGCCAGGGGACTATGCAACATGCCCAAGGCTACACAGGCCGGCTCTTTTCCCAAGAAACCCAGTGGAGAATAAAACTCCCAACCTCTGGCTCCACAGCCAGATACCTATAAACTACTATAAATTATCCAGCCAACTTGAGTAAGATAAAGACCAGATTAATTACACTTAGTCCATTTCAGTGCAACAAGCCCAACACACCCATTTACCAGTTTGTCAAGTTTACATTATATGGGCATTTAAGTCAAGACAATTGCATGGGAGCCAGAAAAAGCGGGGGGAAAGGAAAAAAAGAAAACACCAGAAGCTGTGAAGATCAGACTGACAGATTTTCATTAACTACATGAAAAACTATATAATAATTTCAAACTTTCTTGTGCAATAACATCTTCTCTCTCACTAAGGGTTTCCTGGACTTTAAAATGTTTCTTGAAATCATGATAATAATTTCATTCGGTCTTCTGTCTTCAGTTCTTGGTCTCACCATAGGAATAGATCCAAGGGTAAGAATATATAAATATGAGTTATACCTTTTTTTAAAAAATGCTAAAATATGTGATCTAACCAACCAGTCCAAGAACTCACCATTTCAGAATACAAATGACAGAGAATTCTGTAATTGCATATTCACTGTTATATCAAAAAATTTCCCACTGATGGGAAACTGTCTATCTGCAACTCCTTGAGTTTTTGTTTTCAAATGAGGCAACATTGGAAATATGCATTAATATCACCATTTCCATTCTGTCAAGATACAATTCTAAAGCATCTGGGCTTCAAAGTATTTCTGAATATATAGATCTGTTCTAAAAGATGGAAACAGATTAACACAAAACTCAGTACAAGAGTCAGAATACCAAATTCTCCCCTATTCATTTCTGCTTTAGGAACCACAGCTCTACAAACCTCTAACAACACATTATTTCTGGGACTTGGTCAGATGTGAAGTTCATGAAGTAAGAAGTTTGGGAAATGTTCTTTTTTCATCACATCCGCCTCCAAGTCACCCAGCAATGTCACCCCTGCCAGCCACACTGAGCTGGAGGCTTCTGAGAATTTCCAAGCTCTGCCTGAAGGCAAATGTGGCAGAATACTACCTGCCTCAGTGCACAACTAACCTTAAGAAGTCCAGGAGGGAGAAGAAAAATTAACAGTATTCTGCATCAATTACAGGTTGTTGATCACTTAAATTCAGAAGCAATGGATGACAAAGTTAGGTTGTCAGTACAGATAACATCTGAGAGCTGAGATCAATCTGTCAGTTTGATGTACCTTGAAGCAACACATGACAAGGGTTTACACAAAACAGGACTGACAGCTGCTTAAAGTAAAGGGTTGAAAATATCTGCTGGGCGGGGGGGGCGGAAGGAAGCAGACAGTGCGCATTCCACCGAATGATGTTCTATGAAAGTTTAGCTTTGAACACATTTATAGCACTTTAACTTCCATATGTTAATATTACATACACTGTTCTTAGCTCATAAAAATAAGTTCTAAGAATTTCTCTAGAAGCATAATACATAAAATGGAGCACACTTCTCCCTTGAATGGCACAGGTCTGAACAGCATGGTTTTGGTTATACACAGATATTTTTCAAGTAAGTAAGTAAGCAAGCAAGCAAGTAAGTATGTACTGTGCCCCTGGCTACCCAGAACTCCATAAGTTCAACACTGAAAGTGTCAAAGTGGTCTATTCGTGCCCAAACACATCTCTCATTTACTCTGATCTAGATCAGGAGGTCATAAGACCTTTAAGGCTCATTACGCACAGTACTGTATGGCTAGGATTGCCAATACTATGGAAGAGAACCCCAAAAGAGAAAACTGCTCTCCCTCGCTTGCTTGTTCTCTCTCTGTCTCTGTCTGTCTGTCTCTCTCTCCCCTTATGCTTTGTAGTTACATATTTAGGGCCATAAGAGTTATACATGGATTTTGAACTACACAGGTTCCAATGCCCCTAACCCCAATGTTACTGAAGGGAGAAGTGTACTTCTTATGGGTAAAGGAATATTAACAGTGCATGCTCAAATTACCAGCAATGTAGATTTTTTTAAAAAAAATTATTACCTTTCCTTGTAACTAATAAAAATTTGATACAGGTTCTGGTCATTTTTGTTTACAATGGACTCATGAATATCTTGTGTTAAACTTCTGTGAATTTTCACCAAATCCTGAAACAAAAATATAACATAAGTATTTTCTCTGATAGGGTTTCTGCTACTATATAAAGCAATTGTTTTCAAGAGATTAAGCTACCTGATTAAGTCAGAATGGAGTAGTACTACCTGAAAAGTAACAAATCATGACTAGATCAGAGGTACAGCCTACCTGGATATGAAAATGAGGGCTTATACTAGAGATATGCTAAAAATTATCCCATTAATATTCTGACTATTCTCGTTCAATCGAATAAAAAAGAAATTCCCATGAGAAATTATTTCAAAGGAGATATTTCAGATAAATTCTTGTGAATGAAGTTCAATATTCTCAATTATTGGGTGGTGCAGAGGTATGTGTACATGTCTTCTCTCTCACTATTCAATAAAGTCCATCAAACCAGCAGACTCCCCAGCTTTCCCCACATGTAAGGCCATAGGAAGACATCATAAGATAACTCATCCCACAGACTGAGAAGCATTGGTAACCATAGCAGCTGTGGAGCAAAGAAGTATAATATGAAAAAAAACACCAAATGCAGCACCTCTGGCCACCCTGCAACATCATAGTAAGCTCAAAAATATCACTAAAGTTGTGAAGCAAAGAAGTATAATATGAAGAAAACCAAATGCAGCACCTCTGGCCACCCTGAAACATCATAGTAAGCTCAAAAATATCACTAAAAGTAATTCTAAAGGGCTATGAAAATAGGTCAGAAAAAAAGTAAGGCACTTTAAAGAGAAACACAAATTTCTGGAAATTATTGGACAAACTATGGGATGGGCTTCACCTTCTTCCTAGAGCTGGAATGGATCACAACACTGCCCTCCCTCATATGGGTTACAGAACTTACAGGAGCTGTATTCTAAGCATCTTCAGAAGAGACAAAAATATCTACAATGGCTCCTCAAATATCTGGCATCTAGAAAGTCTGGGAAAGATGCTGAATCCTAAACAAATGTTAAAGCAGAAGACATTTTCCCCCAAGAAATCCCATAGATTTTTGTTTTCCATATTCCAACTACATAAACAGAAGGACATTTTATGAAATTACTTCCACAATTCCCTCAACATACTTCTGGGGCATGGCTGCTTCCCTCTTACCCCACTGCCCTAGAAACACACTTGATACATTCATGCTATTTGAAACAGCAAAGGGAGGGGGGAGCAGAAATCTTCTGGAACAAATGAACAAACCTGTGCTACAACCACTGCCTTGCCGCTGAGAAATTTGTGGAGAATTTCACCTTGCCTTGCAGAAATTTTATGAAAGAGTAATCTCAGTTTCTCCCCACAAACAGGATGGAGAGTTCTCCTGGACAGCTCAGCAGTTTAGGCATCTGGCTGCGGAGCCAGAGGCTGGGAGGTCAGTTCCCCACTGTGCCTCCTTGACAGGCTCTGGACTCAATGATCCATAGGGCCCCTCCAGCTCTGCACTTCTAAGATTCTGATAAGCCATTTGTGTGAAGCAGTAGTTCCCAACTTTGGATCCCTTGATGTTCTTGGACTGCAACACCCATAAATTCTGGCGAGCACAGCTAGTGGTGAAGGCTTCTGGGAGTTCTAGACCAAGAACATCTGGGGGCCCAAGGTTGGGAACCACTGGTGTAGAGGTATGATTTATACCAGTGGTTCCCAACCTTGGGTAACACAGATAATCTTGGGCTGCAATTTCCAGAAACTTCAGCCAGCACAGCTGGTGGTAAAGGCAAGGCTTCTGGGTATTACAGTTCAAGAACACCTGGATTATCCAAAATTGGGAACCACCAGTTTATATAATTGCTTGTATATCTGGTTGAAAAGCAGTAGAATAAGGGCACCCTGATGGTGTTGGAAGTTATTGGTTCAATGAATATATATCCATATCTTTTTTTTAAGTAGCATCACAAACTTCCCCACTCACAATATGGATGGATGGATGGATGGATGGATGGATGGATGGATGGATGGATGGATGGATGGATGGATGGATGGATGGATGGATGGATGGATGGATGGATGGATGGATGGATGGATGGATGGATTGAGTGAGTGAGTGAGTGAGTGAGTGAGTGAGTGAGTGAGTGAGTGAGTGAGTGAGTGAGTGAGTGAGTGAGTGAGTGAGTGAGTGAGTGAGTGAGTGAGTGAGTGAGTGAGTGAGTGAGTGAGTGAGTGAGTGAGTGAGTGAGTGAGTGAGTGAGTGAGTGAGTGAGTGAGTGAGTGGGGAAGTTTGCGATGCTACTTAAAAAAAAGATACAGTATGGGTATATACTCACTATATAGATATAGATATAGATATAGATATAGATAGGCTTTATTATAAATACTGAGGAAATGTATGTGTGTACACACTAGTATATATATATATATATACACACACATTTAATCTTGGGCTGCAATTTCCAGAAACTTCAGCCAGCACAGCTGGTGGTAAAGGCAAGGCTTCTGGGTATTACAGTTCAAGAACACCTGGATTATCCAAAATTGGGAACCACCAGTTTATATAATTGCTTGTATATCTGGTTGAAAAGCAGTAGAATAAGGGCACCCTGATGGTGTTGGAAGTTATTGGTTCAATGAATATATATCCATATCTTTTTTTTAAGTAGCATCACAAACTTCCCCACTCACAATATGGATGGATGGATGGATGGATGGATGGATGGATGGATGGATGGATGGATGGATGGATGGATGGATGGATGGATGGATGGATGGATGGATGGATGGATGGATGGATGGATGGATGG